CCATGAAAAAAAATTGGTTGTGAAAAAAAAAAAAAAAAAAGAAGCCAATGATACTCAGTTGTTTTTAAAGGGACACAGTGAGAATATGTATACACTGTGCTGTAAGGAAATTGGATTAAGGCAAAGTTTCTCGCCCCATTAATGACGAGGTAAGGATGAGGTCAATGCCTAAAATCAATACTGTGATGGCAAAGGATGGTTGGGCCATAGCAGAAACTTTAGTATCGCCTTTGTCTCTCGTTTTTTGCTCATTACAAACTATATCAGATCCAGTCAATGTGATCATAGTGAAGGAAGAAAGCTGAGAAGGACCATTTCAGCCTAGCAGCAAGCAGATGGTGTAATACTCAGGAAAGGGGAAATGATCAAAGACTCATAGAGCTGGATGAGACCTCTGAGCCACCTCTACTTTATAGCTGAGGCCCAGAAACCAGATGAAAGTAATTCATCCAAGGTCACAGAATCAGGGCAGGACACTGCCATGACTAGAACCTAAGCAGCCCAACTCACAGACCAGGGTTCATGTGACTTCCCAGGCTCCCACCCAGAGGAATGGTTAGTTATTGTTTTATATCCTCTAGCCAATTTGATCTTCACAGCAGTTCCAGCAGCTTGGCAAGACAAGGGTTATCATTCCTATTTTATGCCAAAGGAAACAAGCCCAGAGGGATTTTTGTATAAATGGCCACACATATTAGTAGCAAGACCAATACGCCTGACGGCATAGCTTCATGGCTTAGAGCAATGCAGATGAAGTCACATAGACCTGGGTTTGAATTTCAGTCCTATAGTTTACTGTCTATGAGACTTTGGGGGAGTTGCTTATCCTCTTTGAGGCTTTGTGCTCTCAGCTATCAACTACAGTGATGGTGAGCTTTTTAGAGCTTTCAATGATACAGTCTATTGTAGCACATGTGCCAGTGGTTCTCCACCACTGAATTAGAGAATGATGATAGCACTGACATTCCTGGGCAGTAGTGAGCATTAAGTAAAACAAAGAATACAGAGTTCCTGGCATTGTTGGGGCCACACAGTAAGTACTCTCAGTAATTCTTTATCCTCCCAACCTCAGTGCCTCTCTCTTCAAGAATCCAGTGGGAGGAGGAGGGGGAGAAGTTAATAACAAATGCTGAGACCTGAGCTTTGGAACACAGGTAACCAGCAGCATTTCCCTATCATCTGGCTCTAGCCTCCCCTCTCCCTCCCTCATCCCAAGGACATTGAACAAAAG